GGCCGCTCAGCCCGGCAGGCCATTGGCGGTGCGGCTGCCGAAGGTAAGGCTTCTCTGCTGCCTCTGCAGGTGGTGACATAGCTGGGGAAGGGGTCTGTAAGGGGAGAAAATGCCCACATCCTAGGCTCTTCATCAGAGCACACAGAAAGCCAAAGCAAGACACCTGCCTTGAAAAACAGTAACCCAAACAAAGTAATTTTCTAGCTGCACCCAATCTCCCTGACCACGGTGTTCACGTACCTATGAACTTCAGCTACTTTATCAAGCTTATCCTGTGCGACTTAAACCAAAGAGCATGAATGTGATTTCCAATGGGCTGTGTTTTGTTTATTTTATGTATTTATTTATTTATTTATATATTTATTTTTAAATCCAGCTTCCAACACATAGTACTTACTCACTGCCCTTGAAGGCTGGCCCACCAGCAGGTGCTTTGATGGCCACTATCTCAGGTTTTAGGAAATGGCTAGAAGTTTATTTCCTCTCCTTGTAATTATTCAGGAATATACCATAGTATTGGGTCATCAGAGAAATTATGACATATTTTTCTGTTTCTCTATGCAAAAACGCATTGGACTTTTCTGACAAGTCAATACTTTACTGTTCCATAAAGTAAAGACGTGTCTTAACATTAATGGCCTGGGATTCACAGCTCTCAATTACTAACTGTACTGCAAAAAAGCTTATCCCTTTCATTATTTCTTGAAAGGGAAATCTTGTCCCACATTTTCACAATCACAGTTCTAGGATCCATACGTCAGGTGGCCATCATATATTGCTATTTATATATTCTAGAAATTTTCTTTTTTTTTCTTTTTTTGGAGAGGTTTTTGCTATAGGGCGCATGCACTCACCAGACAGACAGAGAGAGACATAGAGACAGAAAGCAAGAAATCACCCCCCAGGGGGGATGGTCATGCCGCAATCCCTTCTCCTCCGTTCTCCTCTCAGGATCTTGGGCATGCACGCACACGCGCCCGGCGTGAGTTTAAGCCACCAGGTCCGGGACTCGAACTGCGGTTGACTACGTGGGCATCCAGCGACATAGCCATTATGCTAACTGCTGGTCCCAGAAATTTTCTATTCCTATTTTTAAAAAATACACACATACACACACCCTTTATTTTTTTAATCTAAATGGTCTCTTACAACAAATACTATTGCCTATCCTGCTTTTGTGGCAATGTATGCTAGAGATCTTTTCACATTAGCACACAGAGAGCCACCTCTTTTTTCCTACTCTTGGACTCCATTGGGAAGAAGCCCTCCCTCACCTCAGCCATCAGAGTTCCTCTGTCTTGTTCATGCCATTGTTTTGATGGTGTAGAGTAGATGGTGATGAAGGTAATAATATACATAAAAGAAACCTTGTGCAGAAGAACCTCAAACTTTTTTTTTTTAAGTTTGCTATAGGGCACATGTGCTTCACAGAGAAAGAGAAAGAAAATGAGAAATTGTGCCCCCTTCCCCAGCAACCCGGGGGAGGATGGCCGCACTGAAATCCATCCTCCTCTCTGGATTTTGGGCGTGCATGCACACATGCCAGCATGTTTTTCAAGCCACTAGGTCCAGTACTCAAACCCATGCAGTCAGCCATGTGGGATTCAGCTGCCTTAATCTCTGTAACACCTCCTGGCCCAAACTTCAGACATGTTTTAAATAACTACTTTTTTATAACAATAGTAGTAAGAATCATTTTAACTCCTTGCTTTTTATTCCACTTCTGGGTGTGCAGGAATGGTATTTTATTCTATCTCTGATGTGACTGACAAGCTGCTCAGCACTTCTGGAGACCCCATTCCCACACTCCAGGAGGACTTTTGGATAAACAGTGCCCTGGTGGAGCCCACAGCACCTCTAAGAGAAGTTCTAGAAGACCTCAGTCCCTCCGCCATGGCTGCATTTGACCTGGCTTGCTCTCAGTGCCAGCTCTGGAAAACCTGTAAGCAACTCTTGGAAACAGCTGAACGGCGTCTGAACAGTAGCCTTGAGAGCCGGGGTGAGTGTGGTGTTATCCCTTAGTTCTCAAATGAGGAGCTGTGTTTCTGAAAGACTTGATAAGTCATAAGAGAAGGGGGAAGGAGGAGAAAGTTATTGGTTAAATTTCCTTATATCCAATCTGATGGAATAAATATAACCTGTTGAAAGTCTCACCTTCTTGAGGCTAGTAGGTGGCATGGTGGATGAGGGTGCTGGACTCCCACATGGCCAACTGCGGTGCGAGTCCCGGACCTGGCAGCTTTCTTTCTCACTTTCCCTCCTTCGCTCTCAGTCTATGGTCAAATTATAAATAAATAAATAAATAAAGTTAAATATTTCTTTAAAAAAAAAAAAAGAAAGTGTTACCTTCTTAATAAACTCAACAATGTGTAGTCATTGGGAGAATTTCTTTTGATTTATTGGTTTATAGATAAATTTAAGAAAGAAATATATATTCAAAAAATGGTATAAATGGAGGAAACTTGGGTGTTTGTGTGTGTGTGTGTGTGTGTGTGTGTGTGTGTGTGTGTGTGTGTTTTCTTTTTTAATAAGCCAGCAATTCTTTTTGGGGGGAGAGGTTTTTTTACTACAGGACGTGTGCGCTCACCAGACAGAGAGAGACAGAAAGTGAGAAATCACCCCCCAGGGGGGTTAGCCACACCGCAATCCCTTCTCCTCCATTCTCTCAGAATCTTGGGCATGCACACACACGCACCTGGTGTGAGTTTTAAGCCACCGGGTCCGGGACGCGAACCATGGTCGACTACATGGCAGTCCAGTGACATAGCCATTACACTAACTGCTGGTCCCAATAAGCCAGCAATTCTTAAAGGTCTTGGAAACTAGTCTTTCTTGTTCTATTATTGCCCTCATCAAAATAATAAACACGCACATGTTTTTAAAACTACTGTAGGCAGATTTATAAGGAACAGCAAGTATTCTTCATCTTCAAAAGCAGCTACTTGAACCCATTAGGTTTGTTTGGTTTTTTGTTTGTTTGTTTGTTTCTTAGATATTTTTGCTATAGGGTATGTGCACTTACCAGAGAGAAAGACAGAAAGCAAAAAATCATATCCTCCCGCCCCCTGAGGAGATGGCCATCCCGCAATCTCTTCTCCTCCATTCTCCTCTTGGAATTTTGGGCACGTAACCATTAGAATTTAAGTTCCAATTTCTAAGAAATTACTAAGTGAGATACTTACATGCATTTCTTGATTTGTTTCTTGTAATTACCTTTGGGTTTATGCCATGATCATAAAATACAGCACATATAATATCATCTTCTTTGCCTCTCCCTAAATTGCCTTTATAACTGTTCTAGTCCTATCTATTGCTAATAACAGAAATACCTGAATCCAGGTCATTTTAAGAGAACAGGGGTTCATTCATCTTATTGTCTTAGATGTCCAAGGCCAAGGGGCCAAAATCTGGTGAGGGCACTCTTGTTGATGGAAAGTCACAAGACTTGACAACATAGCAGAGGGTAGGAGCACTCGTAGAGCAGAGCATGTATCTGTCTGTCTCATTCTTTCTTCCTATAAAGCCTCCAGGACTCAATCATGGGGACCCCACCCTGTTACCTAATCATTCCCCAAGGCCCCACCTTTTACCCCACAACTCCACAACTAGATCAAGTCTTCACCTTCTCAATATTGCCACAATTGCTCACCAAATGTCAACACATGAATGGGGGTGGGAGCACATTCAAACCATAGCAGTAACTTAATCCTTTTTTTTTTTTTTTTGGTCATAGGGCATATGCACTCACCAGAGAGAGACAGTGAGAAGGAAACTGGGAAATCACACCCCAGTGGGAATGGCCATGTCACAATCCATTCCCCTCCATTCTCCTCTTGGGATTTTGGACATGCACACTCATGCACTTGGGATGATTTTCAAGCTGTTGGGTCTGGGTCTCAAACCGTGGTCAGCCATGTAGAGGTCCAGTGCCCACCATCAGCTGGCTCTAATCCTCTACTTTTTAAAACTATGGACTTAATCCTCTGTTCCTATGGTATCAGTGTTTAGTAATACTGGGAATAGGATAAAATGAGTGAGGCATTCATCTTGGAAACAATTTAAGGAAGCTCAAAAAAACTACTCAAAACTAAGAATATAGTAATGCAACATTTTTAAAAATAAAAACTTCTGCAAAAATGGTATAGAGGCTGGGCCAATAGGTGCCATAGTGGAATCTCATGGCCAAATGCAATTCAAGTACTAGACCTGGTGGCTTGCTTTCTTACTTTTCTTTTCTCTCTCTCTCTCTTTCTTTCTCTGGTGAGCACATGGGTCCTATAGTCAAATTTTAAAATAATAACAGTAAATAAAATTAAATAATTATTTTTTAAAAATGGTATAGATGGGGGCCAGCAGGTGGCATGGTAGTTAAGGGTGCTGGACTCCCAAATGGCCTACCACGATTTGAATCCCAGACCTGGTGACTTGCTTTCTCACTTTCTCTCTCTCTCTGTTCCTCTCTGGTCAAATTAAAATAAATAAATAAAGTTAAATAAAATAATTATTTTTTAGAAAATGGTATAGATGACATTTTTACCTTTAGACTATATGCCCCCTCCTTGGTGAACCTCACTTCACCTAAAACCGGGGACCATCTTGAATATGTAAACCAGATATAAGGGAAAATGTAGTGAATCCCAGTTAGATAAAAAATTATACGTTGAGGTTAATAGTGTCCCAGAAGGTGTACATGGGATTAGTGGAATCAGGTACATAAAGTTTTAGAGATATGTGAAGAGAGAATTAGGCAAAATTTCACTCCCCACCCACCTTGGCTCTCTTCACTAAACATTGGAAAGACTGCAGTGGAGCATGTTCTGCCTCAGGAACATGAAGGAAGGAATGGTGAGTAATTAGGTTATGAATAGCCCCTTATGTCTAGGACCCCCAACACTACCCCCAGGTTCAGTGCTTTTATAGAAAAACCTACAGGACTTAACCTATAGTCAGACTCATGGCTAAGATTTATTTCAGCAAAGGAAACAAAGCAAAATCAGCTCATGGAATAAAGTCTGGAGGAAAGCAGGCCAAGCGTCCAAGAATCCTTTCCTGTGGAATCACACAGGACATGCTTGTTCCTCCCAGTGATGAGTATGACCAGCGTTTGCCAAGTGTTGTCTGCAGGGAAGCTCCTTAGTGACCCAGTGTCCAGGGTCTTACTGGAGACTGCTGACAGAGCCACCCTCTGCCTAGCATGTATCAAAATTCCAGTCTCCCAGAAGAAAAGCAAGTGTCAGCATAAACCACATTGTAGAAACAGTTTAGGCACAGTGAGCCACTCTCATCATTGAGGGAAAGCTGTATATCAGTGTAGGAAACTACTTACCAGTCAGGTCCACAGATGCCAGCCAAGGGCCAACCATGCCACAAGCCTTCTAAGAAGAGCAGTCATGGGCCACTGTGTTAACTCTTTCTGCATAGTCCTCCAAATCATTCTGAACTGTTGACTAATGTGCTTTTTTATTTAAAAAAATAAATGATTTATTGGGAACAACAGATGGAGTAATGGTTATATCGCTGGACTCCCACATGGCCAGTGGCAGTTTGAGTCCCGGACTGGATGTCTTGAAACTCATGCCAAGCACATCTGTATGTGTGCCCACCCAAAATCCCAGGGGGAGAATGGCGGAGAAAGGACTGTGGTGTGGCCATTCCCCTGGGAAGTGATTTCTCACTTTCAGTCTTTCTGTCTCTCTCTCTGGCGAGCTCACATCCCTGTAGCAAAAATCTCTCTCAAAAAAAAATTTTTTTTACTTAATTTTATTCATCATTATAATAATTATTATTATTATTTAATTCGCTATAGGGCACATGCATTCACAAGAGAGAGAGAGAGAGAAAGAGAAGGAAAGTAAGTAAGCAAACCACCAGGTCCAGGTCTCAAACCGTGGTTGACCATGTGCAAGTCCAGCACCTTAACTACCACACTATCTGCTGGCCCCTAAAGTGCTCTTTAATGTCCATATAGCCTTTCTAAGAAAGAATACTGTGGCATATACATGCTGTTTTTAGTCAACAGTTTGGCTCCCCCTCAATAATACTTATATTCTAAAATTAAAAAAGAGGCTATTCGATCGGTTAGTAGCTAAAATGTTTTCCTATCATTCAGTAAGGAATCAATTTAGCATCCACTGTGTTTTCAGATATCTCAAGTATATGGTGGTACGAGAAAGATATAACGAATAATACCTGTCTATTAAGTTGTATATAGTTTAGTCAGAGTACCAAGATACTACTTAAAGCAATTAGAGAAGGCAGATTTGATGCCAGCTCAAGTCCGTGACTGAGGCAGTACCAAGGCAGCTCCACAGGCAGGCCCAGTTAGCGTGGGACAGCCGTCCCACAGGCAGAGATCCTGAATCTGTTGCTATTACATCAAGATGCTCAAGGCTTCTTGTCAGAGATAGGTAGTCAAGGAACCCCAGGCATGGAATAAGCCTGGTATACTGGTTATCACTCCATATGACACAGCTTCTATTTCCTCCTTAATATTGGAGAAGATAAATTTTTACAAATAAATGTAAGACTGAGTATCAGTCTCAGAAAGTACCTGTTTTTTTCTGTATTCCAGGTCGGCGGCTAGACCACGTGCTCCTCAATGCTGATGGCATTCGAGGTTTTCCAGTTGTTCTTCAGCAAATCAGTAAGATTCTCAATTATTCACTTATGTCAGTTGGACAAACTAAATCAGGTGAGTTTTTTTTCTCCCCCTTTTTTTCCTCCAGGACTTAGAGCATTAGGTGAACAATAGGCTTCTTTTTTTTCTCTCTCTCTCTCTTTTGCTTGCCATAGAGAGTGTAGAAGAAAAGGGAGGAGGCCCTCCACGGTGCAGTATCACTGAGCTGCTTCAGATGTGCTGGCCTAACCTAACCGAGGACTGTGTTGCCAGCCATACCACCCTCTCCCAACAGCTGGATCAGGTCCTCCAGTCACTGAAAGAGGCCCTAGAGCTTCCAGGTACAGTGCAATCTGCTCGGGAACAGCTAAGGGCTGAACTGGGGAAAGGAAGTCCCTGAGAGTAAAGGAACACTTTGAGCAGCGACTCAGAGAACAGAGCAGAGCAGAGCTCCAGAACAGAGCACTCCTAGCACTGTGGTTAGCCAGAGCAAGTCTCCTAATTTAACATCCCTTCCCCCGTTTTCCCACCCCACAGTTAAAAGGATGTGTAACGTTCCATTAACTGATAACGTTTTCTCATTGTCAGTGAGATATATTTCTAGCAGATACTCTGTAAATATTGATCAATTCTTTCCCAAAAGACCCCTGTGTTCTTTGTAAAATTATCCCATCCCAGAAATGCCAGGGTAAAAAATGGAATTTTACACCCTGATTTCTCTATAGACACAAAACTCTTCCTGGTTGAGAATCACTTGTTCAGGTGATTGACTTAGGACTTTATATCTGCCTTATAATTGTAGAGCCCCAACTGTAGGATATCTCATATAGTACATGGGAATCTCGATTCACCTGTTAGGTCAGAAACTGACCTAAAGCTGGATGTACAGAATAAAACCTCTTTTTTTTTTTTTGCTGCCATAACTCTTCTCAGAGCCCAGGAGTACTCCACTCTCTTCTCTGGTGGAGCAGACAACCCAGAAAGCTCCTGAGGCGGAGGTGCACCCTGTACACATCCAGACTCAGCTCCTCAAGAAGAACCTGGACAAACAGACCCCAGTAGGCAGCAGACAGACTGACTATGTGGGTACCTTCTTCAATTACTGTAGCACCCTGGCCACCATTCTCCTTCGGAGTTTGAGCTCCGAGCCTGGTAAGTAGCAGGAACAAGGAAATGAAGCCATGACTTGCCTACAAGTGTTTAGGGCAAGAAAGAGGAAAGACATTCAGTTCAGAGGCTTTGATACATCAATAGCCAGCAACATCAGACAGTAAGTTCCTCCTCTCTTATTCATCTCTGTCAGTTTTATTCACCTTCACGCTAGTTTGGTTGTATAGCACATGAGAATACTCAATAAACTGTCATGGAATTAGTGACTCCGAAATATCTGTCAGACCTTTGGTCCATTGTGGACTTGAGGACAGAGCAGAGGAATCAAGCCTCTAATATGAGTACCAAATTCTTACTTGAGCCTTCTGAGTGAGACCTGCATGCATTTAAGTCAGGTTGAAGAGAGCAGGAGTAAACTGGCTGGACCTGCCTAGTGAAGTTTATCTGGGGTTGGAAGTCGTTAGAGCAGTTGTCAGGTAGAGATCAGCTTGTGGTTAGAATCATGTTGAGAATACCCTTTGCCTAGAATGAATCAATGGAAGGCCTCCCAATGTTGTCCTAGTTTTGACTTTGCACTATTTTTTAGGTTTGTTTATTTCTTCCGTGAGAGATTGGGGGAGAGATCACCAACAGGGTCTTCATACCATAATCCTCCCCTAGTCTCAGCCTAATCATAAGCGGGGTGCCTGGCTTACTCAAGGGGGTCTCCAGATGCAAATCTAGAATCTTTCCCCCATGGCTCTAATTGTGTTATCATGCACCACCATCTAGCCTCAACATTTATGATTTTTATTAATTCTGGGAAACATAAGTGTGAACTGTTGCAATCAGTAGTGCAAACAAAGATTATTTTCTCTACCTTTGCAGATCACATGGAGATCAACGTAGGAAATCCTTTTGTTCTCCTGCAACAGAATTCTTCCCAGCTGGTGTCACATCTCCTGTTTGAGAGACAAGTTCCCCCAGACAGGTAGGAGCTCGCCTTGCAGAAGTCAGCCATGAGCCTCCCAAGTTGTTTCAATAAGGAAACCAACCAAGGGCTCAGTGGGGTTGTGTTTGGGTTCAGTACAGACAGTAGGGATTTCTTTCAGACTTTGTACTTAATTTGCATTTACTCCTATACAGCTATGTTAAACTTCATTGTGCATCTTTTCTTTATCTCTCTCATCATCTCTAATATTTGTATTACAAGTATGAAATTAATGGGTGTATTTTCACTTACAGATTGGCAAAAATCCAAAGGTTTGATAACACAACAGTGGTTAGGCTGTAGGAAAATGAGCCTTCTCAGAAATTGCTCATAGGATATGTTGGAACAACATCTATGGGAAAGCAACTTGTCAGTATCTAGTAAAATTATAAATTTGAAACTAGCCAGTTGCATGGTGGTTAAGGTGGGTAGATCCCCCATGGCCAACAGTGCAATTTGAGTTCTAGACTCAACAGCCTAAAGAACATGCATGTACATGCCCAAAATCCCTAAAGGAGAAATGGAAAAGAACCATACCCCATGAAGGGTGCTTTCTCATTCTCTCTCTCTCTCTGTCTCTGTCTCTGTCTCTAGCAACTGCATGTGCCTGCTAGCAAAAAAAAAAAAAAAAATTATTTTTTTTTATTTAGTAGTAGTATTAATTTGCTATAGGGCACATGTACTCACCAGAGAGAGAGAAAGAAGATAAAGTGAGAAAGCAAGTCACCAGTCCAGGACTCAAACTGCAGTCAGCCATATGGGAGTCTAACCCCTTAACCACCATGCCACCTGTTGTCATACACCCTCTAGCAAAATTTTAAAAAATAAAATTAGGAATTCATATGCTCTTTGACCTTGCAATGTATGTAATACATTGGAGAATTTATCCTGCAACTTTATTACAAATGTGAAAAATAATGTATGTGCAAAATCATTTTATTATAGCCTTGTATATAATGGTATATAACAAAACAGAAAAATACGTTCTTCCCTAAAAGGAGACTAGTTATGATTCATCCACATAATGGAATACTGTGCAGTTGTAAAAACTAATGGGAATTTGAGGGCCTGTGCGGTGGTTAAGGGCACTAGACCACATGGCTGACCACAGTTTGAGTCTTGGACCTAGTGACTTGCTTTCTCACTTTCTCTTTCTCTCGTACTCTGTCCCTCTCTGGTCAAATTTAAATAAATAAATAAAGTTAAATAAAATAATTCTTTAAAAAAAAAGAAAAAAGGGAACCAGCAGTTAGCGTAATGGCTATGTCGCTGGGCTTCCACGTAGTCAACCGCGGTTCGCGTCCCAGACCCGGTGGCTTAAAACTCACGCCGGGCACGTGTGCGTGCATGCCCAAGATCCCGAGAGGAGAATGGAGGAGAAGGGATTGTGGTGTGACCATCCCCCCTGGGGGGTGATTTCTCACTTTCTGTCTCTATGTCTCTCTCTGTCTGTCTGGCAAGCGCACGCGCCCTATAGCAAAAACCTCTCCAAAAAGAAGAAAAAAGATTAATTTAAATTTTCTCTGTAGAGGATAGGGACAAATTTCTCACATATGTTATTTAGTGAAAAAGCAAGGGATGAAGACATATGTGTTTGGTTTCTTTTTTTTTTTTTTAAATAAAGTAAAAAATAAAAACTTTATTTATATTTGCTATATAAGCATGAACAAATTGTCAGATTGAGTGATGATGCCTAGGGATTTAAACCTTGCATGCCCCCTGCTTTTGTCTCTCCAGGCTGGCAGCCCTTGTGGCCCGAGAGCGTCTCACCCTAAGTGTGCCACAGGTCATCATCAACTGCTGCTGTGAGCCTCTTGATGTTTGCTCTTCACGGCAAAACCAGCAGATGTCATCCCTTCTGACCCACATGGGCCTCCTGGCCCAACAGTACTCCTCCCACTGCCTGGATGACCTTCCACCTTCTACTCTAAGCTCCCCAACACCAAGTGAAAATCCTACATCGGAGAGAAAGCCCCAGTCCTCTCCAAGGGATTCATCAGCCCCAGCCTTCACCTCCTCTGCCTTAGCCTTTCTTAAATCCCGCTCAAAACTATTGGCTACAGTCGCCTGCCTGGGAGCTTCCCGGGGGTTAAAGGTCACCAAGCCCAGCCTGTCATGGAAGGAGCTTCGTGGCCGCAGGGAGGTACCTCTGACAGCAGAGCAAGTAGTCCGGGAGTGTGAGCGCCTTCTGGAACAATTCCCTGTGTTTCAGGACTTCCTGCTAGCTGCCTGGGAGCCGCTACAAGGGTCCCCTGAGCAAAGGCAGAGTCTGGCAGCTAGTCTCTGTGGTCAAGCCAGTCTTTCCACTGTCCTCCTGGGCCTGCATGCTCCCAATGCCCTGGACATACTGACTGAAGCCTTCGAGGAAGCCTTGGTGGCCAGAGACTGGCCCCGAGCCCTTCGGCTCACTGAAGTGTATGGGCAAGACATGGACGATTGGAGTAGCATAAAGGATGCACTCCTAAGCTGTGCTGTGGCCTGCGGTAAGCAAAAGGCTATGCTCCTTCTTTCACCAGTGGTAATAATAACATTTAGCAAGCATGACGTCACATTTAATTTTCCCAATTACTTCAGAGAAAAGTACACAATAATCTCTTGTTACTGAGAGGACACCAAGGCTCAGAGAGGTTAGGAAACTTGCCCAGGATGGGGGTGGCAGAGTAGAACTTAGAACACAAGTATATCTGACTTAAGAATAAATACTCATGGGGGCAGCAAGTGGCATGGAGGTTAAGGCTCTGGACACTCCCACATGGCTGACCATGGGTCAGGTCCCAGACCTGGTGGCTTGCTTTCTCACTTTCCATCTCTCTCTCTCTCTTTCTCTGTGTCTCTCTCTGGTCAAATTAAAATAAATGAGTGAATAAATAAAATAATTTTTTAAAAAAAGAATGAACACGGGGAACCAGCAGTTAGTGTAATGGCTATGTCACTGGACTCCCACGTAGTCAACTGCGGTTCGCGTCCCAGACCCAGTGGCTTAAAACTCACTATTGGCTGGGCACGTGTGCGTGTGTGCCCAAGATCCCGAGAGGAGAATGGAGGAGAAGGGATTGCGGCTTTACCATCCTCCCTGGGAGGTGATTTCTCGCTTTCTGTCTCTATGTCTCTCTCTGGCGAGCGCACGCGCCCTATAGCGAAAACCTCTCCAAAAACAAAAGAATGAACATGCATAACTAGTGTTATCAATCCTGGTTGCAAAAATCATTATCTATAAACTACAAATACCTGGACTCTACCCTAAAGGTCTGGGATGAGGGCTCAAGCAGATATTTACTTTAAAACAGAGGTCAGCAAGCTTTTTCTATAAAGGACTTTGTAGGCCATAAGATCTCAGTCATAACTACTCAACTCTGCCATTACAGCATGAAAGCACTCAGTACATAAAGGAGTGACCAAGGCTATATTCTAAAACTTATAAAACAGAGTTTGAGTCTGTTTGATGACTCCTGTCTTAAAAGCTTCCTGCGAGATTTTAGTATGTTACTACACTGGACACCATTGAACTACAACATTCCATGGGGGAGAGCAAAAGTCTGGTATCCTCTAAGGAAAGACTTTCGGGTAGAAGATTTTGCTGTCTGTTAAGATGGAGAAAAATCCCTCCTTGAGAACATGGAGAAATCCTCTGACTAGCTATGTGGTCTTGGTTGCTTAGAGACTGTTTTTTCTTATCTCCAAGATCACATCTTTGAAATGGGTGTGAAAGAGAGACCTACTAGTTAATGGTGAATATCAAGGGAGTAAAACTAGCTTACCTGAAATACCTCTTAAGTACATATGCAGAGTAGAAATTGCAGAGAAAACTAAAAGTCCACTAACAAGGTGAATCTGAACAGTACTTTACATGCAGCATGCCAACACATACACAGAGAGCTTCATCTCTCCTTCCCCACTCTCTCCTTCCCTCCTTTCCTTCCTTTTTTCCTTTTATTTTTTAAATGCTACAGGACATGGATACTTGTCAGAGAGGTGGGGTGGTGGGGAGAAAGCACAACCCGGTGGACACGGTCATGCCACAGTCTCGTCTCATCCATTTCTTTTTTTTTTTAATGATCAGTTATTTAATTAGGTTCTTGGCAAAAAATTGAGAACACCAATTTGTGAGGATAAACTCCATTTGTAAGGGCAAACACGGATCGCAGGTAGCCCTGGAGCTGAGAAACAGCTTTGAATTTTGGTAAAATTTGCAAGTCCACAGCTCTCTGATCAACCTTGTGCTGCTCTGAAATCTCGTATTTCTCCTTCTCTGTGTTGAAGATCTCACTTTCCTGGTGTCTGGGCTTCCACAGCTTCTTTTTCTTGAAGTAAGCATCGGTTAGGTGCTTTGGGATTTTTACTTTGCTAATATCAATTTTTGTGGAGGTGGCAATGATAAATTTTTGGTGTGTTCTACGCAGTGGAACTTGATTGAGAACCAGCAGTCCAGTTACAAGTAGCAAGCCACTGCTCAGCTGCTTCAGGAAAACCACCCTCTTGCCTCTGTGGCGTCCAGTGAGGATGATCAGAATGGACCCAGGAGTGATGCTAGTTTGCAGCTCTCTCACATGCTGACTGAAGGGTTTTTTGCCATGGCTCAACAACTTTCGAGGCACATCTTCAGTAGGATAATACCTAGGCATTTTGCACAGTTTAACCACCCAGGTACTGGACTCCCACATGACTGATCACAGTTTGTCTCCACCAACTGGTTTTGTGACAGTCTCAAGAACCTTCTCCTTCTTTTTCTTTTTGATCCTGGATTTAGTGGCTGAGTATTTCCTCTTGAACATGGCCTTCCTGGAATACATGGCAGACCGAGAGTATCTGCCGATGCCTTGGACTAAGATGGGGTTTCGGCTGCAATGGGGCTTCCTTTTCTTGGGCTTTTTAGCCTTGGGGTCACCCTTTTTAACCTTGCCACTGGCATCAGCCTTCTTGGCTTCAGGTTTCTTCTCCTTAGTATCCTGCTCTGCAGCTTTTTCACCTGCCATCTTGTATAGTGGGAAAGAGCTTCTCATCCATTTCTCTACCTATCAGAATTTTGGACACACATATACACATGCCTAGTATGTTTTTCAAGCCACCAAGGCCAAGATTCAAACCACAGTCAGCTCTGTGGGATCTGGCTTCCTGAACTACTAGGCTACAGGAATGAGTCACCTTCCTTTTTTTCTTTTCTCCTTTCTTCTTCTTTCCTCTCTCCCTTCTGAAAATCCCATGACCTAGGTAATTTTCACATAAAGGGAAACACAGGGGTAAAGGATTCTCCTTACTATATAACCATCTGAAGTATAGAAACTAGTTAAGGTCACATGGCACTTAAGGATCTCCAAAGTTCCTATTTTACAAAATTGAACAAAGCCCTTCTCTTAAGAAGTAACCTGGAGGCCAGGCAGGTGGCATGGTGATTAAGGCACTGTATCCCACCTGGCCAACTCTGTGATTTGTATCCCAGACATAGTAGCTTTAAGAAAACACTGTGTGTGTGTGCATATGTGCCCAAAATTCCAAGAGGAGACTGGGCAAAGAGGGATTGCAGCATGCCCATCCCTTCTGGGATGGCAGGAGAGGAGGGGTGACTTACTTTCCTTTTTCTCAGCCTCACTATTTCTCTCTAGTGAGCATACATGCCCTATGGTAAAAATGAGAAAAAAAAAAAAAAAGAAGTAACCTGGGTCTGAGCTCTTCCAGTGCCAGGCTTGCAGCCTCTAGCCATCTTTATTTATCTTATAGAAAAAGAAGGTTGGCAATACCTGTTTCCTGTGAAAGATGCATCTCTGAGAAGTCAACTGGCCCTGAAGTTTGTGGACAGGTGGCCCCTGGAATCCTGCCTGGAGATCCTGGCCTACTGCATTTCGGACCCAGCTGTCCAAGAAGAACTAAAGTGTGAGCTGCAGAGGAAGCTGGGAGAGTTGCAGGTGTATCAGAAGGTAGGGGCCCTGGCATCCAGAGAGAGGAAACAGGCTGCTCACTCTGTTATCAATTCCAGTCTCTTTTTGGATGATGGGGTATTTTAAGAAACAGAAAATGTAGGCCTGACTTTTGCTCTGCATGAGCTTCTCAGGTGAACTGCAAGGAGGTCTCCTATCTGTTACTTGTGTTGTTTATCCCTATTATTTGAAATATGTTTGCATCAAGCCAGGATAAAAATAACAAAATTAACATTGAAATGCTACTTTATAGTCCTCGAAGGCATTTTCACATGTAGCTCATATTTTCACATGAGCTTTGCGTATGCTTTATATATATCTTTTTTTATAACTTTAAATAAATTTTTATTATATAAAGTCTGTCACATAACTGGATATTCTTCTACTTTGTACAGTTATTCTTACTCTCCCATGGAAAGGCTGCTTCTTAACTTCTTATGTGGGGCTGGCAAGCACTATAATTCTGATTTTAACAGAGTAGTAATAAAAATGCCTCAGTGATGAGATTCAAGATGCCAGCAGGAGGCTGATGAAGGAGCTTGAAGAAATCTGCAAGTGTGGAATGATGAAGCTAATTTATTGAGTTGGCAAGAGTTTATTGTCCCTGACAACCCTCCATATGACAAGGGGGCCTTCAGAAACTAAATCAACCTTGCAGCAGAGTACCCATTCAAACCACTGAAGATCACATTTAGAACAAAGATCTATCACCCAAACATTGAAGAAAAGGGGCAAGTCTGTCTGCCAGTAATTAGTGCTGAATACTAGAAGCCAGCTACCAATACCGATCACATAATTCAATCCCTCGTGGCACCGGTGAATGACCCCCAGCCCATGTACCGCCTCTGGACTGACCAAACTGAAGAATACTCTGAGGACTACAAAAAATTCTGTAGAAACACTGAAGAGTTTACAACAAAATATGGGAAAAGCTACCTGTGGACTAAAATCTGCCACGATTGATCCCAGAAACTGTGAGCAGAGACCCCGAGCAGAGCATTCAGAGAGCCCACTAAGCAGGGCTCTGTGGAAAACTGACTCGTGCCACCGCCTGGCGTTGGCTTGTGGCAGTTACTTTCTACAGTTGTCGTAATGAAAAGTGCTCTAGGTAACCTGTAAAGAAAGGATGAAAAATATAAGATTTTCTAAAAAAAAAAAAGTGAAAGTCTTCCTTTAGTGATTCAAGTTGAAAGCAGTACTTTGGTACATGGCTCTTGCACCCAGTATCAGAAATGTACAAATGTCTTTTTATTCAAAAATACAAAATAACTTATCTGTAGGTGTAGACAATGACGGCAGTAAACAAGTAACTGATGGTTACAGTAATTTTGTTAAGCATCAGCCAGCCTTTTATTTTAATGAACTAACTTCTCTGAAGGTATCCGTCGGTGAGGAGCACTGCCTTGAGCTTCCTGTCACAGCTCAGGAGTAATGTTAAAGCACTATTCTAGGAACCAGCAGTGGGCGTAATGGCTATGTTGCTGGACTGCCATGTAGTCGACCATGGTTCGAGTCTTAAACCCAATGGCTTAAACTCACGCCAGGTGCATATGCGTGCATGCCCAAGAACCCGAGAGAAGAATAGAGGAGAAGGGATTGCGGCATGACCATCCCCCCTGGGGGGTGATTTCTCGCTTTCTATCTCTCTGTTTCTCTGTCTTTCTGGCAAGCGCATGCACCCTATAGCAAAAACTTCTCCAGAAAAAAAAGCACTATTCTAGAAACTAGAATATGCCAAAAGATATATATCTTTTTTAAAGATTGTTTTAAATTTCAGCTAAATGTTAAGAGCCATTTAAAAAGGATGTATAACAGTGACAGTTTCAAAAATGAAAGAAGAAAACAGAATATGTGTTATAGTCAAGCTAAAGAGACAGGAAGACATATTTAGGTGGCACAGCTAGATAACATATAAATTATATGCTATTTTTTCCACGTGTCCTTAGAGCAGAACAGAGTCCAGAACCCCATCAGAGAAAGTGAAAATGAAAGATGAAAATGATTTTTTTCCTCGCTCCTCAGCAGTTTTTATCCAGAGCTAAGATGTTGCACGAAAGGAGATCCCACATAGCATTCAAGCCAGGAGAATATCTGGTGCGATTTTGAGATGAAGGAGCATCACAACAGTGACCCCAGAAGGCTGGGCAAACTGTAAAGCACAGGGGCCTCTGAGAACTGTCCTCACCAGCGAAAAACCCAAACTTTACCTCCCACTCACCTTCGCTTCCTGACTGTACGTCCCAATAGCTCACTGTCCTCTAAACAATTTTTGTCCCATTTGCTCTCCTCCTCATCTTTCCTGGCAAGTTCTGTGGATTGATTTTGGGACAGAGATCTAGAGGTGGCCCATCCCTGGATGCACCAATGACTTGTTCATGGAAGGAGAAGCTGTAGTGTGGTTTAATGGATCTTTCTGTCTCCTTAGATTCTAGGTTTGCAGATGCCCCCAGCCTGGTGTGACTGGCAGTCACTGAGAAGCTGCTGTGTTGAGGACCCATCGACTGTCATGAACCTGATTCTAGAAGCACAGGTACCGTTTTCCTGGATGGTATTCTCCTTCATCCTCCTCTTAGAATTACAGCTCCTTGACTGGTTGTTTAAGACTCCTTTCCATATATCAGTGTTCACCATATTCTCTTTTTTTCTTTCTTGCAAGATTTGCCAACGTACACGTAAACATAGAGAATGATACAGCTGTCAGTTTTGTACTGTCACCCTTGATCTAACCCATGAGATTTTCTACACTGTATGCACTCGATACAGAAAGTACCTGGGAATGGGATTGCTATGTCATCAGGCATGAACATCTTCACCTTTGCTAGCATGTTACCAAATCACTCTTTAAATTCCTTGCCCGAGTTATACTTGGACTAATAGTTCCTATTGCTCTGTATCCTTGCCACCTTTGTATATTTTGCCAATAGGATGGTATCTCAATGTTATTTTAACTTTGGTTGCCATGATTACTAATGAATTTTGATATCCTTTCATGCGTTTCTTGTACATTCAAGTACTAAATAGAATTTTATCTACCTTTTAAAAGTATCATAGATCAAAATGAAAATGCTCAGGGCCGGCAGATGCCGTAGTGGTTAGGGTGCTGAACTTCCACATGGCCAACTGCAGTTCAAGGCCCAGACCTGGTGGCTTGCGTTCTCACTTTACTTTTCTCTCCCTCTGCATCTCTGTCTGGTCAAATTTTAAAAAATTTAAAAAAATACAGGACCAGTAATTGGTGTAATGGCTATGTCACTGGACTCTCGTGTAGTCAACCGTAGTTTGAGTCCCAGACCTGGTGGCTTAAACTCAGGCCAGGCGTGTGTGCATGTGTGCCCAAAATCTTGAGAGGAGGATGGAGGAGAAGGGATTGTGGCATGGCCATCTCCCCGGGGAGTGATTTCTTGCTTTCTGTCTCTCTCTTTCTGGTGAGCGCACATACCCTATAGCAAAAACCTCTAAAAAATAATAATAATAATAATAGCAAATAAAATTAAATACTTCCTTTTTTAAAAATGTAGGAACCAGCAGATGGTGTAACAGTTATATCACTGGACTCCCACATAGTCAACCACGGTTCAAGTCTTGGACCCTACGACTTAAACTCAGGTCGGGCACATATGCGTACGTACACAAGATCGCCCAAGAGGAGAATGGAGGAGAAGGGATTGCAACATGGCCAGCCTCCCAGGGGGTGATTTCTCACTTTCTGTCTCTCTCTGTCTTTCTGGCAAGTGCACACACCCTATAGCAAAAACCTCTCTTCAAAAAAAAAAAAAAAAAAAAGTTCATGCTCATCCAAATGATCATTCACTCAGGAAATACCCATTGAATGCCAGTCATTTGCTGACACTATATAGGATGGTGATGAAGCAAAGACAATTAAGCTTAAACCTTGTCCTGGGGCTGGTTGGTGGTACAGTGGTTGGGGCGCTGGACTCCTACATGGTCAACTGTGGTTCAAGTCCCAGACCTGGAAGCTTATATTCTTCTTTTTGTTTTTTTCCCACTCTTTTTTTTTTTTTTTTTTTTTTTTTCTCTTTGTATTTGT